GGACAAGCCCCTTCCTTTTTTCATCGCTCATTTTCGGATGGAAAACAAAGATGAAGAAATGAATGGATTGCATAGGGTGATAGAGCTCTTCAGGAGCTACAACCCATACATTGCGCTTTCTGGAAAATATTATAAAAGTTTGAAAAGACTTTTCTAAAAAAAAGGTCCGGAAATGGCTGCGTCACAATGTCGCGGACAATAATTCTTCGAACGCGACAATTTTTCTTTAGGTCTTTGTTTGGAGCAAAAACAGAATTTTTCCTGACAGATAAGCATACTCTATCATAGAGCTCATCGAGGACAGTAGCCAGGTAGTGGTTACTTCCAAAAAAAAATCCAAGCTTAAGTTTATTTTGTTTTTTTTTTTGAACAACAACTTTAATTATCGTTTTCAAAGCAAATTTCTTCACAGGAAACCTATTCAAACGTTCGGACAAAGCTGTTCAGATGAAATGATGCTCTTTGCCATTCTATGCATCGACGTGTACTGGTGAGTTTTTTGCTGAAAATGACTCTTGACAGTGCGTGCACATGGCCCCATCTGCAGCTCACCACTGACATGCCACCGCTTTGCAGGCTTGTAGCTCAGCCAGCAGTCATTTTACGAGAGTGCAAGTAGGCTCATTCAAAAGAGCGTGACTTCCTCGACACGATGGTATGCATAAGATTTGGGTTTGGGAAGTCCCGAAGGTTTTACGGTCTGGGTGAAAAAGAGCAGCTTAAAGGTGCCTGGAGTGAAAGCTCTTATCAACATCAGAATAGTCCTAGAGCTTCGAAATAAATAGATCTATTACAGAACAATTGACAGTTTCAGACTTCTAGGATGGAACTAGTAGCAAAAGGAGCTCTGTTCAACTTTAGCTGAAATTCCTTAGCTTATTACCACTGAAGCTGCGCTTTTTTACCCCATCCGTGAAATCTTCGAGACTTCCCACACTCAAATCATTTGCATAATATCGTGTCGGCGAAATCACGCTCTTTCGAATGAGCCTACTTGCAGGCTCGTACATTGAGAAGCCGAGCTACAAGCCTGCAAAGCGGAGTCAGTGTGAGGTGCAGATAAGGTCATTTGCACGCACTCTCAAAAGCCAATGCAAAGAAACTTGTCAGCACAAGTCCGATGCATAGAGAATGGCAAAAAGCATCTATCCGAAGAGCTTTGTTAGGATGTTTTGAATAGGTTTTTGAAAAAAGTTAGCTTGAAAAAAGTAATTAGAGGTCAATTTTTTGAAAAAAAGCAAAATAAAATTCAAGCTTGGGCTTTTTGAAAGCAACCACTACCTGACTACCAGTGGTGTACCCAGGATTTCCGCTCGGGGGGGGGGGGGGCGACGAAAAATTTTTTCGAATGAAGGTGCGTGGCGTTAGCCACGCACTCCGAAAAAATTTTAGGGGTGCTTCCCAAAATTTTTGGGGGTCCCCAACCCCTAAAATCCGGAGAAAGTGTGCGTGGCGTCAGCCACGCCCCCGAAAAAAATTTTTTTACAAGGCTAATTTGAATTTTTAAAAATTTTTAAGAATTATTTTAATTGTTTACAAGTATAAACAAGTCATTTGCACATTTTTATAACCCTTATAAGTAACTTTCGAAAACTTCGCGACCCATTCTCGGGGGGGGGGGGGGGCGCCCCACCCCCGCCCCCCCCCCCCTCGGTACGCCACTGCTGACTACTGTCCTCGATGAGCTCTATAATAGAGTATGCTTATCTTTCAGGAAAAATTCTGTATTGCTCCAAACAAAGACCCAATGAAAAATTTTCGCGTTCGAAGAATTATTGTCCGCGACATTGTGACGCAGCCATTTTCGGACCTTTTTTTAGAAACAGATTTTTAAAACTTTTATAATACACATTTTCTAGAAAGCGCAATGTGGGGATTATAGCTCTTGAAGAGCTCTATCATCTCATGCAACCCGATTATTTTTTCACCTTTCTTCCATCCAAAAATGAGCGATGAAAAAGGAAAGCGGCTTGTTCGCAACTATTTGGCGGTCACTGTATATATGGCAGACCAGGGGGGGGGAACCCTCCACCCGATAATGGGAACTTTTTGAAATCTACTTATCGTCTCTACTTTTGGTCTGCGTCTCAGACCTGCCACGTGTGGCTAACATGTTGGCAACGTGGCAACAACATGTTTGCAACATGCCCCAACATGTTGGCAGAACATTTTGGCCACGCCAGCATGTTGCTGCATGTTGCCAACGTGTTGCTGCCAACGTTGCCAACATGTTAGCCACACGTGGTAGGTTTGAGACGCAGACCAAGGGTAGCACGATTTGTGGAGGGGACTATACATTGGTTATAAAAATGTGCAAGTGACTTGTTTATTCTTGTAAATAATTGAAAAAATTTCTAGAGTTTTTTAAGAATTCTAATTAACCTGCAAAAAAAATTTCCGGGCGTGGCTGCTTCGGGGTCACGGGCCTGCAAGAATTCTGAGAAGATTCACCTAAAGAATTTTCGGAGTGCTGGCTGACGCCACGCACGCACCTTCATTTGAAAAAAATTTTCGCCGTCCCCTTTTCTCCGGACGGAAATCCTGCAACCGCCACTGGTATATACGTCTTGGCCTTCCATCATTTTACGTAGCTTTGTGCGGTTGGCTGAAATTCTACTATCTGCTGCATTTCTGCATTTTTCTGTTACTTTTGGCGCACCTTTGAGTGCATCGAAATAAATAAATAAATGACAAAAAATGTGGGTAGAACAGGTTCGTTAACTGCATCGCATCCGGTTTTGATTGCTTATCGTAAAAGCCGAATACTTCGGGATCCGTGTTCGCAATCGTTAACAGCTCATTCCTCTCAGTCAAAAGTGTGATTGCCCTCTGCAAGCAATCTTTAATCCATCCCTCCTCTGGCAGATACTCCAAGGCCGCGGACACTGCGGCTGATACCGAAGCGTTGAGGTTGCGGCTGATACCGAAGCGTTGAGGTCTTCCTCGAGGCCTGGCTTCGTAAAAGTGGCTAGACAAGGGGTCGGCCATCGGGAGGAAGCAGGGGGAGGGGGAGAGACGCAGAAGTCTTTAGTCGAGGAACCAACAGGTCGAATTGATCCTTGGACACTGGTCTAGCTTTACTCAACAGATTCATTTTGTTCACCCCTCTGTTACTGATCAGTGCATTGATTTGACAAATAACGAATGAGTGAAAAGGATGCACGGCCAAACAGAATAAGGGCCGCATGCACTAACCTCCCCGCTGGGGAGGGGATTGCAGCTTAAAAGAAAGCTTCATATTCTGAAGCTCCAGATATCTGGATTTCACGTTGTGTACCTATCCGTAAGTATTCCTACTACCCTTCACTATGAACATGTTGAACAGAAGCGAGAAGCTGTACGAACCGCATTTTCCAGCTTTTGTATGATCCCTGATGATCCCCGGCGCTTTTCTTTAAAGTCATTTTTCTTTCTCCGAAGTTGACGAAAACCTTCCAAAGTTGTACTGAACATCTAACACAACAGTGTTAAGCATCTTGCTGTTGAGAACAAATGAGTTTTTAAAAAGTCGAATTTTTCGGTAAACCTCATTCGACCTGTGGATCATCGAAAAATTTATGACTTCAAAACATCATTTGTTCTTATCAGCAACATGCTTAGCACTGTCGGGTTAGATAATACGCACAATTTTGGAGGTTTTCCGTTAACTTCGGAGAAAGAAAAATGACTCTAAAGAAAAGCGCAGGGGATTACCAGGGACCATGCAAAAGCTGGAAAAGTGGTTTGTACAGCTTCTCGCTCCTGTTCAACATGTTCATAGTGAAGGGTAGTAGGAATACTTACGGATAGGTACACAACGTGAAATCCAGGTAACTGGAGTTTCGAAATAGAAAGCTTTCTTCTAAGCTGCGATCCCCTCCCCGCGGCGATGTTAGTGCATGCGGCCCTAAAGTCTGGCACCTGTCTCCCTAGCACACAGATTCTGCATATTCGCGTGCGAAGGGGATAGTACGCAATTGCAGGCTACAAAAAGCGCAAATTTCAAAACGGGCTTGTAGTTTTTTCTCTGAAGCATATTTGTTCTTCTTCATTATCATTCGTTAGCGTTAATCCTTATATGTCCATTAAAGTACAGCAAGTTGAGTCTCAGCATTCGTGGGTCGAGACCTTGTAATAGTGGTGCTTTGACCAAAACTCTAATCCGCACTTTGCTCTTGTCGGAGTAGACCATATAGAAGTCTCAGGATGATAATTTTGAGACGCTGCTTTGGGAATTAGGTTAAAGGAGAGCCTCTAACAGTGTTTGTTCAAGCAGGGTACTTGGAAATCACGGTCAGGGAAATCAGGGACGGAGTAAAAAAAAGCAGGATATCAGCACAAGAGTCTTCTCATACTTCTCATAGGTACAGTTCTTCGTGAATCTTGAGCTTTAGAGGATTGCGGTCTGGCGGACTGAAGAAGAGAAGTTTGTCCAATTTTCAAGGATCTCTGATGAAGCGCTGAATCCTTTAGAGGATTACGCCGATTCGCCGATGGCTTACGGGACATTTGCATAGTGATGGGAGAGTAGCGATAATCTGTCCAGTTTTTTCGTGAAAAGTACGAGTAACTTAATACTTATTTGAGGTCGGATGTATTTGATGTTATATATAACTAGTTTAATCGCAAGAGCTTTGTCTGATTGTCTGTTTGTTTCACCAATCAAATCTAAGCTCTGGGAGTTTGGAAGCTAGAGATTCTTCGCCTTCATCAAACAAAAACTTTGTGAAAGTCTTTGTGACTCTTTTCAAATACATTTTCGCAAATTCATCGGACACGATCTCATTGGTAAAGTAGGTAATCTACTACCAAACTGTGAGCGAGAATAAACGTTTTTGCACTGTACTGATCTTTTTGCACTGTGTTGAAAATCATTAGTACTGTACGTGACAGGCATATTTCACGCATCGACAGGCGACTCATCATAAATTATGATTCAATCGAACTTTGAGATCGTCTTTTACAGCAATCTTGCCTTCTACAAAAACGTCTAAATTTAAAGGAGAGCTCAAGTTTTCATGATGCAAAATGTGCTTCGATTATCGCTTCGATGGGGTCCTGGACGTGCTAACGGTGTCGCGTCGCTCTTTTTCTCATTCTCCGCACAACATCGGCTTCATTCTTCGTCAATTTTGACGTCGCACATTCGCCAACTGAAAGCGTCGCATCCCAGATTTTGGCATGTTTTCATTTTTTCTCTTAGCTATGTCTTTTTTTATTTTGTGGAGTCTGCTTCAAGATTCTTCGACTGCAGTCGTGCTCAATACACTTTTGAGACTTTTTGCTTTTTTCGCATTCTGTTGTCCTAGATAATTCGTAGAATGCACGCTATTTTTTCCACTCGCGCGCTCATTATGAAGTTTAATCATCTGATAATATTTACTGTATGCTCGTCCTCTTTTCTTTTGTAGTCTAAAACAGCCAATTTCACATTATTGATTATGAACCAAGCGGATATGAATAAATTTATATTGCTATATATATTCTGAAGTGTGGAGTTTTTCCATTTGTGGACATAGTCATTCGTTCCAGCTCAAACCTCAGCTTACGGAAGATGAGTGCCGGGGATGTCGACAAGTCACTTTACATTCTACCAAACGATTCACCGATCTGTCCTCTTGACTGCGCTGATGCTTTCAAAGGTATTGTCTTATTTTTCACGGCTTTGCCATATTTGGACTTGTTCAGCTTTGACGAGCAAAGAGCGGCTATATGCGCACCATATGTCAAAGGCTTCTTACAACGGAGCTTTAGCGGTCTTTCTGCAGGTATTCTTCCAGTTTATCCGAATCGACCTAATAATTTCTGATATTATTGTGCAGGTATCGCCGGAGTCTCCCGGCATTTTCGTTACGTTTTTCAGACTGTTCAAAGCAGAGAGTTTGGATTCTTTGAAAGGTGGGTCTTCTCCTCACTTCCCAAACAAGTCCATAGGATTGCATCATGTTCAGAAAAAGCCAAAAAGTGTGGATTCTCTGACGAAGAGTGGGACGGGTTTTTGATGTATGTGGCCGGATTCTACTACAATAACGGAAATTATCGCGGATTCGGAGATTCGAAGATAATACCTGGCGTTGATATGGTATGAACTGTTTCTGCTGCCAACCTTTATCTTGTTTTTCTTCAGAAGAAAATTGATGCACTGATGCGGTCAAGCGAAGCTGCCAAGCTCTCACCTACATTTCTGAGAACTTGGGAAGTGGTGAGACCTGTGATGGGTACTCTCGAGAGCAAGCAGCTACATCTCGGCTACGGCGACAGGGTAATCATAAGGTCCGATTTCTCATTGTGTTTCCAGTAACTTGTCGACTCCTTTCAGGGTGTGACATGTTATCATAGCGAAAACATCAATGAGACTGATGTCGAAAAGATCGACAGATACTGTAAAGTGAGCTGAACTTCTTTATAGTTTTTCTTCCATAATGGAGCTTAAAAAATTGCTTAGGCGAAAGAGTTGGAACTATGGAACACCAGGCTTTTTAAAGATTTCGAAAAGAAGAATGGAAAAACCGTGTATCGGCTGAGATTGGCTAGCAGTAAGACAGGTTGGTGGACTGAAGTTGAAAGCCGTAGTGCTTAGTTTGGAGGGGAACTTCAGAAACAACTGCACAGATACTTTGTCCAAAAAATTGGGACAAGTAGAAACACTGCGCAAAAACGCGTATATCTCTTAGTGATTGATTGGTTGAGCTTGTTGCAGATGGAGCTTCTGAAGAAGAGTTCGAAGATTCTATCATTGTTACTGAGAGAGGCGATTATTCTCCACTAATGGCTAGAACATGCTCTTGTCTTGCTAAGGTAAGTATCTACGATTTTCAGCATTTTCAATTCTAAACTTCCACTGCACAAAGCAAAAGTTGCAAAAGAGCTTTCATTGAACGCACTCAAACTTCACAAACGTATGCGTGCGTGTATTTGTACCTTGGGCTTTCTTGCTGTTCGTGTGAAGTCACAGTATGCAAGTGCTAGCAGTCGTAAAGTCGCGAACCTCAGTAAGCTTTATCCCGTTCAAAACTGAGCCTTCGAATGGGACTTGAAGGTTTTTTAGGACTGAAATCTTGAGGTTGTCTTCTTTTCTTGTATGCTATTTCGATTTTTGAAAGTCAGTATGCAGTGTTGCGCATTTTTTTTTCATTTTACATGTCTCTGGTTTATGTTTAGGCATTGGAAGTGGCTGCAAATGATACACAGAAAAAGATGATTTCGAAGTATATCGAACATTTTACCGAAGGAGATGTAAAATACCACAAGGTGATTTTATTGCTGTTTCCCTTCGGTAAGCCTTTGATCATATCGTCTCTTCACGATCAAGCTACGGCACGCAGAGATGTCGATTAGTATGTAATGTGATTCATAGTCTTACCAGTGTGTTGTGTAAGAGCATACCATTTTTTTGTCGCGTTGCTTTTGTTTCCAACACATATCATAGGTAAAGGACATATCATAGAGAATTTCATGACACACTCTGTGAAAGTAGCTATTGCGGTCCTAGGGTGTTAGAATGATAATTGACGGAGTATGTTTAGGACGGCTCACGCTTCTGGATAAAGGACATTGAACCAGTGATCGAAAGTTATATAGGATTTATCGAAAATTATCGTGACCCTGCAGGAGTTAGGAGCGAGTTCGAAGGTAAGTAGACGATTTGCACATGGTGTAAGCCAGTTGATGTCTTTATTTAGGTTTCGTTGCTTGCGTTAACAAAGAAACTTCTCTTAAGTTCAAAACGCTAGTCAGTAAAGCAGAACAGATTTTGGAACGGTTACCATGGGGTAAACCATACGAGAAAGACCATTTCTTGAAGGTAACATATGATCTTTAACATCGTGTTGTTCGAATGATTTTGTGCTGTTAAGCCTGATTTTACTGCGCTCGATGTAATATCATTCGCATCCAGTGGACTTCCTTCTGGGATTAACATCCCTAACTGTAAGTCAATTCTTCTTCACCATCTTTGTGGTTTGCATATAGTATTTTGGCATATAGTTGTGCACAAAAAAGCAGACGGCATTTTCTCGATCGTTTCCATTGTTTAGATGACGATATTCGACAGAATGAGGGTTTCAAGAATGTATCTTTGGGCAACGTGATAGCAGCGACTCCGAAGCAAAAAATGAACTTCATCGATCAAGAAGATGAGGTCCGCATAAATTTTTCCCATAAATTCGTGAATTTCTTTTCATAAATTTTGACGCAGTTCTTGAAGAAGAGTCTTATTGCAGGATCTTTTGCATACCTATCACAAAGATTCCTTTGAAGTTCAAGTGGGACTTCACGAATTACTTGGACATGGTAGTGGGAAGTTGTTCCAAAGAAACGCGGACGGTACATTCAACTTCGACAGAAACACTGTAGATCTTATCACTGGGAAGCCTGTGAGTCTGGTTTAATTTTTATAAGTCAATTCTCCTAGCGCAAACATATGATGTAATCATTCCTAGCTATCTTAGGTAGCAACATGGTATGAGCCTGGAGAGACATGGTCGTCGGTGTTTGGTCCTCTCTCGAGTGCTTACGAGGAATGCCGAGCAGAAGCTGTTGGATATGTACTATGCTGTGATGCTGATATTCTAGAGTGAGCCTTATTTTTATCCTGACAAGTAAAATGCATTTGAAGCTTCACGGTATCAAACTAGAATTGCAATGTTAGAAAATGGTACTTCTACAGATAATTTTCAGAATATTCGGATATAAAGACGCCATGGCTGAGACTGTAAAGTATGTCAACTGGCTGAATGAAATCCGCGCTGGACTGTTAGCCCTAGAGTTTTACTCTGCAGAGACGAAGAAGTGGGGCCAGGTTGGTTTTGATATTCTGGTGGAAACTTCATGTCTCTAAACGTTTTTTTAGTTTCAGTACGTAATCAGAACAGCTATGTTTCGATATATGCTGAAGTGTTCAATGTTGTGGCTTTTTTAGGCTCATTGTTACGCCCGTTTTGTGCTTACCAAGGTGTGCCTGGAGGCTGGTCAAGATTTTGTTACTATAACAGAATGCGTTGGCGAGGATGGTAAGCCCGATCTGAAGTTTAAATTAGACAAGAAAAAGATTGATGATGTTGGAAAGCCTGCTGTAAACGCTTTCCTGGCTAAGTTGCAGGTTGGTTAAGGTTTCATTATCTCTCTTTGATGTACAATTGGAAACCCGTAGGCTCACAAATCTGCGGCAGACGTCCAAGGAGGAACCAAGCTTTTTGAAAAATACGGCACCGTGGGTGAGCAGGAGTTACGGTGGCGCGATATATGCATAGCTCGACGAAAGCCACGAAGACTTTTTGTACAGGCAAATACAGTTTTTGACGGCAAAGGTGATTTGAAGTAACCGTAGGCAGATTTTGCTGCAACTTGGCCAAGAAGACATTTCAGAAGAAGTTACACTGAAGTCCTACGATGCTACATCAGCGGGTGTTATACAATCATTCCTAGAACGATACGAGTCAGGAGCGATTGACGAACTTGAGCAATGCTGGTTGAAAGATTTGGTTTGGTACCCCTCGCATCTGAAAGGAACCGATCATCAAAAATAATATTGTTACATCACCTCTGCTCTATCTTTTATAAGTTATATGATTCTAAGTTATAAAATGCTCATTTTCTCGTCTTCATTGGGTTAAAAGCATTATCACAAGAAGTAATCCGATTTTGTTAAAGGTATCGTTCCGGCAGCTTAAGGCTGGCTGCTTTAATATGTGTGCCGTTGGGTAGCGTACTTACGAGGCGACCAAGACCTTCTCCAATAAGATTCTTCCTAAGTTTTTGGATAGAGTGAAATTGCTCTATCTTCGTTCTGTTTACGAAAACCCGCGCAAAGCCATAAGTACGAGCGGATTTTCGGTGAAAGAAGTTCATTGGAATTATGTCGTTCTGCGCAGCTACCATAACAACGAATATACATACGGCTATTTTCAAGAAATATAAGGAACTAGCTGGATTTTTCGGTACTGACCGGGTCATCCTTCACGAGAATGGCCAAAGCCACACTTCGCCTCCTTCCGTTTTTTTCGTTCGGTTCAGCCATGTCCTCCTGCACTGCTGCAGTCTCGGTACTGCACTGAAAGCTCCCCCCCCCCGCCTTTACTCTCGTGCATGAGCTTACAGTCAGTGTCAATCAAGTGCTCCCTTTTCCGTAAGCGCAATCACCACGCCAGAGCTTCGTGCGCGTATTTGCGCATGCATACATCCTAGGCGAAAGGAGTACGTAATCGACACATACTGTACCTCAAAACGATTGTTTCGAGTACCGCATCATGTCCAAATCAAATGAAAATGAATTTGTTTTGATAACGGTTGATTAGTGTTCGTTCTCATTGCAGAGTGCTAAAAATCAATAAATCGGTAGGACGACTAAGCGAATTGCCGCAAAGAGTAGCCTATCGCCTGCACAGGGGTCGAAAAACGTATGCGTGCAGAATTTGGCGCTTTTTGGTTCACTCACAAAATTTCTATTCGCCACATACTTCGCGAAAACATACTTACTCGAAAACTTTGAGTTTTATATATTTATAGATAACATTATTAGGATAAAAGTCAATGGGGAAAAGGAAATCAGTGTAACAGTATTATCAGTGTGCTTTCCTGTGCAGTTTTTGAAGACATCCGGCTGTTTACCTAATCATTGAAGCTGAAAGTTATATTTGCTGTAAAATTTGCTTACGAAGAAGAGACATTTTAGGGAATGCGCCGCGTTCTGCAAAGTTTCGGCGATTGACCATCAAACATCACTCCCACCCAATTGTTGCCTTTCCAAAAAATGCGTGTTATGCCGACAAAGAAAAAAAAACATTTTTGTCCAAGTTTTTTTTAGATCAAAAGTGGAAGCATGAAAAAGAAGGCTTTCTTCGCTCAATGCGTTATTTTTTGTCCTACATGGTCTCCACAGATTGCAGCCAGATGGACGGGAACGAGTAGACAACTCCGCACCCATAAGTGATTGCTGGAGATGTGACGTTTAGCTATGCACCCAATACTCAGCTTCTTAGGGTAGAACACTTTATTCCACCAAAGTAGGCTATTAAGGGCCGCATGCACTAACATGGCCGCGGGGAGGGGATCGCAGCTTAAAAGAAAGCTTTATATTTCGAAACTCCAGATATCTGGATTTCACGTTGTGTACCTATCCGTAACTATTCCTACTACCCTTCACTATGAACATGTTGAAGAGGAGCGAGAAGCTGCAGCTGCACGAACCGCATTTTCCAGCTTTTGTATGATCCCTGATGATCCCCGGCGCTTTTCTTTAAAGTCATTTTTCTTTCTCCAAAGTCAACGAGAAACTTCCAAAGTTGTGCAGATTATCTAACCCAACAGTGCTAAGCATGTTGCTGATAAGAACAAATGATGTTTTGAAGTCATGAAATTTTCGATGATCCACAGGTCGAAATTTGGGGTATACCGAAAAATTCGATTTTTCAACAATTCATTTGTTCTCATCAGCAACATGCTTAGCACTGTTGTGTTAGATGTTCAGTATAACTTTGGAAGGTTTTCGTTAACTTCTGAGAAAGAAAAATGACTTTGAAGAATAGATGTTCGTCCCCCAGGGATCATCAGGGGATCCTACAAAAAGCTGGGAAATGCGGCTTGTACAGCTTCTCGATTCTGCTCAATATGTTCATAGTGAAGGATGGTGAGAGCACTTACGGACAGGTAGACAGCGTGAAATCCAGATATCCGGAGCTTCAGGATATGAAGCTTTCTTCTGAAGCTGCGATCCCCTCCCCAGCGGAAATGTTAGTGCATGCGGCCCTAAAAGGATGCCTTTAAGGTAGCCAAACGCAAGGACTATGCGAGAGTAACACCACTCAAATAATATACTATGCAGTTTGCAAAGGAGCCAAAGCTTTGAGTTCACGAGGCAGGTTTCCAGCACCTGCTTCCACCACGCAGCAGACCTTCATACTTGAAACAGGTAAGAATTAGAAAAGCGGAGTGCAGTGGTACGAAGTATTTTAGGTCTGAAATCGGAGCACTCACGAAGCTTTAATGGGAAAAAAGCAAAAATCCGTCGTAGCGTTTGGAAGTGCAGCATATGACCATCGAAAGTTACAGTACTGACCGCAAGTTTTGAAAATATTCGAAAGATGTGGCCATTATGGAGCCAGAATGTGGTGATGTGATTTTTGACAGCGGAAAGCCTCTTAATTCAGCTACTTCACATATTATTTCAAAAATTATCTGGGTTTATTTTATGTTACTTTCATCACAAAGGCAGAACAGTAATCAACTTCGTTAGAAAATCATCAGCAGAGTCATGCGTGGTGTGTGGTATGCCACACCTGGGGATCGTGAGGGACCAGGAAGAGGGGTTGGGGGGGGGGGGTCGTTGTCAGGGTGGTTCTGATCTTATAACGTGATATTTGCTAACATTGTCAGGTAGGCCCATCGTACAAAATACTAGCACATTGATGTTTTGGCCCACCATCGTATACGTCAGTAAGCATAATAGAGGATCTATAAAAGCATAAGAGCATATTTCATATTGGACCCTCAAGCGCGATGGTCATTTTCGAACATGTTAACTTTGTTTCAAAGGTGGGTTAACTGCTTCTTTTTGCACTTAAGGCAAACAACTACGACTTGTTTGCTTACTTTAGGAATCTTACTTCAAATAGCCTTCAAATTAAGGAATTGAAAGCAAGCCAAAATCGAGTTTATTCCACTTTTTGCTTTCAATATCTTAGATTGAAGGGGACCAATCAGGCTCAAATAACGTTAGTGTAAATACAAGGCTCAGCCTATCGTATATGTACATCCTTGTCGCCTTTCCTCGCGATTCACGTAGCAGCGTAGTCTTTGCATGTTACCGTAATTCAATTTCGCAATATTTTCCACTTGCATATGTAAGGAGAAACGATTATATCTTTTCCTAAAAGAAACGATAATAAATGAAATTTCCTGCATGTAAAGAAGAATGTTAAAGGCACCGTCCACTTAAAATGGAGGTTGGCGAGATTATGATGGCATACTAGTGTGGGCCCTCATACTAGACAAACCTCCAAGCTTCGCCGCAAAAGACTGCTTCTGAAGCGAGAAATCCGCTCCGGAAGTAACAGAGTGGGCGGGGCGCCCCCGGCGGTCCACCCAACTCGAATTCAATGTTTTTGTCGCCTTCAGGCCTTCTGAAAGCCCTGATTCCGAATATGGAGTCGAAAATTCGCGAAATCCCCAAAAATCCCTGTTTCGAGAACTCTCTGCAACAAGTGCAGGCGAGATAAAGCATGCAAGTGGGCGGGGCGACCGGGGGCGCCCCGCCCACTTTTGTTAATTCCGGAGCGGATTTCTCGTTTCAGAAGCAGTCTTTTGCGGCGAAACTTGGGGGTTTGTCTAGTATGGGGGCCCACACTAGTATGCCATCATAATCTCGCCAACCTCCATTTTGGGTGGACGGTGCCTTTAAGCAGTAGCAGCGTTATAAACGCAGGTTTTTTGATGGTGTTAACGTAAAATGGGGTATGGTACAACCCCGGAAAGGTGTGGCCGCCACAGCTTTTCTAGAGTTATGCCACACCCCATTAACTTATTTTTTAAGAGAGTGTTAGGGAATTATATACGGTTTGATAGCCAAAAACCCCGTAGTTTTTGTAGAAGTAATTTGGGCTGAATTTGTCTTCTTTCGTCTGAGCAATGTTTGCTGGGAGCACAAACACTGGAAGCAAAAAATCGGACAAACGAGATTTTTGCTATCTCCTAGTTCTATAGTTCGATCAGATCTTTTCTTTGTTGGAGCGCATCATGTTCTACCCCTAGCTTGCAAAGGTCTGGTAATATATAAAATACTGTGTAGAAGTTGCTAGCGACCATGTCTCGCCTACTATACGCAATTACACTCAAAGTTTAGAGTTCGATTTCTTTCATCAAAATAAAAACAAATCGCAACTGCAACAAGCTGTAATACAATGGAGAAGTTGCAAAACGTGGAGATTCAAAGGTGATCTGTCACCTATGTATTACAAACAATGTGAAACAGAGGGTGCTCCTAATACGTATGAAATCAGGGCGCGACGTCTCATGTTTACGGCCATTACAATATGAATTTATTTTTGAAGATTCAAAATTGTATGACCTCATAATTTCACAATTGTTTTGGAAGTTATGGGTTGTTTCATACTGCCGCACTGACTGCAGCAGTCTGCTGCAGTCAGTGCGGCAGTCTGAAACAACGCATGCAGTCGAGACCATCTTGACCCTTTTGGGCCGGGCGGTGGCAATTGCCACCACCAAGTTTGAAGGACTGTAGCATCGCCGCGACAGCATGTTTTTTTAGCACTCCTAGTTATAGTAGCTTGGGATGGCCTATTGCTTTCGATCTGCGCGTCCACTCGCATTTTTGTTCGTTTTGCGCTTAGTATCAGAAGCAATTGCGTGCGAAGCAACACTGGATCGCGCTCGACTTTGAAATCTGATAGGTTAGCGCCAATTTTTTTCTAGAACATTATGTTTTATTCATGTTTCCATCATAACCGTTGAGTATGAACTGTTCAGGAAATAATTGGCAGTTGTTTGTGAGTCCATATCACATATGCCATGTTGAATCTTTGCCATCACCTTCAGAATTTCGCAGTTGCCACCAGTGGGCTTTAGTGGGACTTTAATGGAAGGTTTTTTATTCA